ATTTTAATTTAAGTTCCAAAAACGAACAATAATAAACATGTTACCAATTATCAAGGACAGAGGTAAGGAAAAAATGGTAATAGGATAAACACCAACTAGATGCCCCTGGATAATTAAGGAAAATAATGCCCAAAAAAAAAAGGCATTACACAGGGTTTACCTGCTTTATCCATATTTATATGCAAAGAATCCAACAAAAACGTCAGATTTCTTAATTGTAAAATTTAATATCAAGGGTGAACTCAAACTCCATAAAGAAAATATAACATAATCAGTTATCGATACCAACAACAGCTATGCTTTAATGCCAATACCCACTAACATCAAATTTGATATTTTACCATCAGAATCCAAATCACCATCAACATCCACACCACCTTTCAAAATTGTTCCACAACCAGAGTCTAAGAAATTCATTTGAACCCACTAAGCAAACTCAAGCACAAAACTAACTAACTCCTCAAGGTGGAATCTTTCCATTTTTCCTGTTCACACCAGTACCCAAATATAACAAATTCGACACTTTAAGCACCAAATAACTAAACCCCAGTAAATTAAATTACAAAATAAAAATAAAAATTACACATAATCACCCAGCTAGAAACCCTAGTAAAGCACAAGTAAACCAAAAACAAAACCCATACATAAATTTCTTCAAAATTAAAAACAAAAGCGAAAGCACTAACAATATGAATATCTTGAAAGCCGGAGAGAGCGAGAGTCTTAAGCAGCTCGCAGCCGATACCACCAGCTCCAACCATAAGCACTTTGGCGCCCTAAACAAAACAAAAATCAAAACCCGAAAATACGAAAATACAAAACCCTGTAATCCAGTTAAAATAAAAGTGGGGGGGTTTTGTCGGTACCTTTATTGCAGATAAGTGTCCCTCTGAAGCCATTGGGACTCAAGGTAGAGAGACAGACACAGAGAGAGAGAGAGAGAGGGGGAAACGGAACAGAGCGAGTCAAAGAGAGAGAAGTAAATTAGAATCAGAATATGAAATTTTATTAGTGCGAATAAATAATATTTAACAGAGACGAAATCGTGGGGGCCGTGGGGAATCGAACACGGGACCTGTTGGATGGTGGAGAATCTAAGAGGTCGTGACCCAAAAAGGGCGGCTAAGCTTAATAATAAATTAATTTTTTTTTTTTTTTTTTTTAGATCTAAAAAAAAATGAAATATACATAAACAAATTTATATATTTTAAATTAACGGATTAAAATATTTATACCATGTTTGGTTACACTAATTTAGGGTCAAAAGAGTTTATTTATAAGTGTATTACTAAATATTTTTAGTTGATTTATTGTATTTTAAAAGTGCTTAAAATATTTTACTATTAGTGAAAAAAGCTCAAAGGAAAATGATAGAGCTACCAAAAGTTGCACACCAAATATGTGCACCAAATGACGTGAAAAAATATTGGCCGTTGATTAATATTAACTGATAATAAATAAATGGTCAAGATTTTACCACATCATTCGATGCATAATTTTCGATGGCTATAGCATTACTCAAGCTCAAATTTTTAGTTCTTCCCGTGAGTTTTTTTTTAGCTTATTTAAAGTGTTAAAATTTTTTTTAAAAAAAATTCTATTTTATTTCATAAATTTGACCTATATCTATTATTATATATCAAAACTTTTTTTGATAAATTAATGCTTAAAATCTCTTTAAATTTTTTTTTAATCTAAATAACCAAAATAAAAATTCTTCCACTCTCTACTAATGACCTATACTTCAATGAACTCGACTTGAATAAATCGTCTCAAACAGAGCCCTGGACCCTGTTTAATTCGGCATATTTTGCTAAAACTTGTTTAATTGGACATATTTTGCTAGAATAACTTATTTAAAGTTTATAAATATTATTTTAAAACACGTTATTTTGTGTCTTTTTGGGTGATCGGGGGTGTTTAAACTAGGTTACGCACACCTCAATTACTTCTTTGGGGTCCTGAAATTGATAGTTGAGTAAATCCTCTCAATAGTCACATCTATTAACAACCCAGATAAATCGAACTCAAAACTTCTTAAATAATACATTCAAGAGTTTTAGTTAACCGTTGGACCATGGTGGTTTCCCATAAGCCCATTTGAGTTCATTGAAAGTGCCTAAATTTTCAAAAATACCATAAAGCTCCGTTTTATTTTTCTATCCCAACAATTATCAAATTTTTTGTAAAACTCGAACTCTCATAAATTCTATTATAGTAAAACTCTATTTGAATCAACTATAATGAACGACTCTTAATATTCTTAGTTTAAAGTGGGAGATTTCAAGTGGGATTCAATTTTTTTTTTTTTTATCTAAGGTGCTGTAATTGCATATAAATCAACTACTACTGGGTGGCCAAACGGTTAAGTAAGATTTTTGAGCATATTACTCAAGAGATTCTGAATTCGATCCACTTAGGTTGTTAATAGAGATTTTTGTTGACGAGATTTATTCAACTGTCAATTTTAGAACCCCGAAACGACTAGTTAAGGGTCAAAGTTGCATCCAAACCCAACGTCTTTTTGTTTGAGACAAATTGTATAATTAATTACATTAATATTTTTTCTTTTCTTTTCTCTTGTTTAATTAAAAAAGTTTATAAAATAAGTGGGGAGCAGGATGATCCACTCCCTAGATCGGATTATAGTTTAAACATCAAATCGGATTACACTATTACCAAACAATCAAACAAAGCGGCGGCAGGTACGGATTCGTCACTCGTGGGCTCGGCCCCACCTTTCTATTCTTAGCGTGAGTATGACGGTGACGCCACGTTTCACATCTCCATTATTTCCTCTAACATCTTTTTTACCAATCATATTTTGCCAGCTCGTCGGACTTATACTAACTACGATGGGTCGAAGAATCTCCCCGCGATTATTTGTTGAGTCTTGAGACGTTTCCTCCGTCACCATCACTCCAAACTTCCAAAGTAAACACGAGACAAAAAGGGAAATTACAGTGCCACTGACAGACTAAACTGTAGCCACGTTTTGCGGAGGAAGTCCAACCGCGCTTGCCAACTCTTCTGCATTATTTTGGTGGCTAATTATAAGGTGTTCGATTTCGAATACCCTGTAATTTTTTTAAGGAATTGAAATCAAAATTGACGGTTTCTTAAAAAATTTAGAATCAGAATTGAAACTGACAGTTCCGATTCCTAGGTACCCAGAATCAGAACTTGTAACATCGGTTTCGGTTCTGGATTCCTTATAAAATTTATGATCTCCCAAAAGTTTTTAAAATAGCAAAAAAACCCTTAAAAACTTACAAATACCCCCCCACGATACTTGTTAGCAAAAATAAAATTACAAATTATAAATTCAAAATTACAAACTCCATTACTTTATAAAAGTTAGATTTTTAAAAGTCAAACCAACTTACTTAAAATGTTATGAAATATAAACATAAATGTATTCACATTACTTTTTCTACAAAAGTTTTTATTAACCCCCATAATCTTTAATTTTATTTTATATTAGTCTCAATTCCTAGTTTCGGTTCCTAACTATAGAAACCAGAATCAGAACTGCACAGTAACGGTTCCAAAAATTTAGAACTGGAACCTACTTGTTGACGTTGGTTCTGAGTATGAACAGGAACCGAACCCCGGATACCCGCCAATTCAGGTTCTAACCGATTCTTTTAAACACCCCTATGACTAAATACTGTTCTTCCAAGTTCATTTCAATCATAAAATGGAACTATAACAAGAATAATGAAGTGATAGTAATATTAAATGATATGGCATCTTATATGGAAGGCATTAGAACAATGAAGTGTTTGAAATGCTGATGAACCCCATGAAGATAGATAACACTATTGCATCTGCAGATAAAGATAAACACATTGAACAATGAGGTCAAAGGAACTCCGGGAGTTGAATTCTCAATGTGGTTTTACTGTTGATACTAATCAATCTGTTGATTACTTAAATTGCAATGTGATATTAAAAGCGAAGCTTTCTTCATCCTCTATATATATAGGAAGGGGAAAACCTAGTGCACTTCAAAACAATGTTCTGAAAATCAAGTCCCGTTTCACGGTTTGACCAATCAAATAGCCGGTTTAACTGATTGTTTAAAAAGTTTAAATGCTTACAAACACACCCCTGAAAACTTTTCAGTCCTTATAGGTTTGAAATATAGAAAATACACTCCTATGATTAGTTCGAGTTTTGACTTTTTCGGCCAAATTCTGGCTGATTTTGACTGCTAAAGTTTAATCCGACACCACCACCTGAACTACCGTCCTCCACTCTACAAAACCTCTCTAACCTCAGAACTTGGCAACCCTCCGTTCATCGGCCGTGACTTACAAATATCATCGTTTTGGATTGATTTTTTTAGCCAAATTTTAGCCGATTCCGACCTTCAACATTTAATCAAACACTATCACCTAAACCATTGACCTTCATTCTACAAAACCCTTATAACCTCGACACTGGTCATGACTCCCATATTGAGTTGAATTTTTTGACCAAATTCTGACTTATTATGGCATCGAAATTTCAATCCAGGACTACCCCTTGAACCACTGCTCTCCACTCTATAAAAGTCATTTAACTTTGACACTTTGTAGCTTCTCGTTCACTGATGATCAAATTAGGGATTTGGGTGAATAGTAAAATTAAAATTTTGGACCCAAAAAGAGGTCGGTGGATGGGTTGGACCAATCCGACTGACTGGTCCGGTCCTGTTTAGTTTTCAAAACATGTCTTTATAGAATTGCATTATGTTGGGTCGGGGCTTCGAATCCCATATATGAATGGGTAGGATTGCCCATTTACCACATCGGATTAGAAACAAACAAAAAAACCCCAGAGTACGGACTCCGTTCCGCGCGTGAGCTTGACGGCGATACGCTTTTTCAATTTCTTTCTTATTATTTATTAATTTCTCTTTACAACGTGTCAAATATTTTTCGGTAAACTTCGCTTTGCATAATTTGTCCAATTATTTTCTGCCATCTCACCCGAACGCAGTAAAATTGTGATCCACAGGAGAATTTCTCCGCGATACCTTCTAGAGTCCGACTCCACTCTCACTCATCGTCGTCTCGCCTATAACTAAAACGGCAAAAAGAACACGAGACAGTGACGGTCAACATCTCTATGTAGCTGCCATTAACGGAAGAAGAGACGTCGTTTCGCTGAAATGTAAGTCGTCTATTTGACCTAAATTCAATGCCGATAATTTTCTTCTAATTTTTTGTTAGTTTTATGAGGTTTTTAGGGTTTGATTATGTTGTTTTCTTTGTTTAGTTTATTGTTGATTCTTCTCAGCTATGGAGTCTGCAATGATGGTTCTTCCATTAAATTACGCCTCTCCAAACGGTAGGCCTCTTAAGTTATGTTTATAGAATGGTTTGTCGGTTTCATTTGTGACTGTTTGCTTGTACACATTGTTTTTTTCACGGCTTGCATGTAAGTTATTTGGATATTTGTTTTGATTGTTTGCATATCTCTATATGATTGGCTAATTTACGTGCTAGTTGTGAAGCCAAGAAATTGTTAATGTATATGTTTGTATTGTGGTCGAAAGACAAGTTTTAAGAATAATCTAGTTATATGTTCGTGTTCTTTTGTGAAGTGTTGAATTGACTATCAGCCTACGAACTGGTAAGGAAGGGACTAAAGTATTGACCTGTTTATTGCTTCTTCAAAGATGTAAAAGAAATACAATATGTGTTTGGTCTTTCTAGGGTTCATTGGTTTCCTCACTTTGAATTCTGAAAACACCCAATTCTTGACTTTTATGTTTTGACAAAGAAAGCATTTATAATTATCTCAAATTATGTTTTCCTTTTTTTTTTTCTCCTTGGTTTGGTGTAATTTAATGTGTAGTGGTTGCTTTTAAGATTTTTTATTTGTCTAGCATGGTTGATTTTTTATTTATATTTTTCTAATTGTAATGCAGTTGCTCATTTTCTGCTTGATTTGTGTATTATTTCATTTGTTTTGATAGAGTCGTATTCAAAGGGACATAAAAGAATTAAATTATTGAGTGATGCGAACACTTATGGTTGTACTACTTCCTCTGCATCTGTGAAAAATGAAACAGAAGAGAAGAAGGCAAAGGTTTCACAGAATATTGTCGATTATTCTGATCCATTTGCCATCTCAAATTTGCTTGATAACTTAGATTCTGGTAAATTTGGGAGTGTAACAAAAGACATAAAGGACCTCATAGATCGGAAGGTTCGAACATGGGGTGCTCTTTGTGCCAAAAATCCATTACTTTCAAATATATTTGTGAATGCTGAGAACCCAAGTAAGCAGGCTACAAAGTTGGCAAATCAAAAACCTATTCGAAATATCATTGATTTGGAAGATGACACAGAGGCTGTAGCTCATCCATTAGTCGTAGTTCTTTCAGACGATGAAGATGAGGAAGACAAGAGGCCTTATAATCCTTTTCGCGAGGTTGTCTTGACGCAGCCTCCTGCAGGACATTTTTTAACAAAGGACATAATGGTATGTTTCTCTAACAAGTCTAATCTTGGATTTCTTTGGAATCGTAATGCTGACAAGGATATATCACTCAATACTTTGATAATCAACTGTGAGCATTGAATGTAATGGGTAATCACTCTCCAAAAGAGGAGACATGTAAATATCAATGTTTTTTTGTTTTTACCATGCAAAGAAGTGACTGAGATGAGCAGAAAATAATATGTTTGTGTGTTCAATAAGGAGTACTATTCCTTGATATTTAATTGTCAAATTTAGTGTATTTTACTGTTCCGACGTCTTTTATATCATCTCTGAAAGTGCTTGTGTTGTTACCAAATTAAGGTTAGGGGCTATGTTGAGAACACAATTAAGGTTGGGGGCGACACACAGAAGATAAATCAAATGAAAGAAGAAAGTTTAGTTGGTGAAATTGCCATCAACAAAGATCAGGGTGTTTATGTTGGTGTCGAAGAGGATGATGATGATAAGACCAAGGCTGAAGATGATGGTTTGGGGGATATTTGGCAGGAGATGTCAATGGCATTAGAATGTTCTAAGGTACTGTGTTCTTTTTAATTTTATTTATCCTTTATTTATTCATTTCTGTTACGTTCATTTTGCACTAAAAATTTTGATTGTACAAGGACATGTAGGTTATGCTAAATTCTTAAAAATTTATATGTTATTTAATTTTTTAAGTAACCTGTATTGAATAAGATCTTTCCAACTTATAATTCTTTTATTGTCCTAACCATTCACCCATAAGTTCCTAAGTTATTGCAATATTTATCATGATTTTGCTGCTTTTGGTAGGATGTGGTTGAAGATAATTCAGCCAATGAACACATGGAAAAAGATGGAGAGGACTGTGATCATTCATTTATCTTGAAGGATGATCTTGGCTATGTTTGTCGTGTTTGTGGAGTGATTGACCGAGGAATTGAGAGCATAATTGAGGTCCAGTTCAATAAGGTAAGAGTATTGTTGTTTATTCATTATGTTCAATGCACCTCCACCTCTCTTATTTATTTATTTATTATTATTTTTTTTTAATTTTTTGTTAGCAATTATCTATGCAAATATGTATATGGTGATTCTTCCTATAAATGTTGATGTTGAGTCTGGGAAACACTTGATTTTTGTTTGGGTAAGTGCCTTTAGAGGGTTGAGAACATTTTTCATAAGCTATTGCACTTGATTTTGATAATGACACCGAGTTGAGTCAATGCTTTCAAGTGCCTTTTGGCTTAATACATTTGTTAATGCCTAGAAGTGACGGATTGGGTTGGAATTTATCTCACCTATTCTTCTTCTCTATTTTATAGGACTACTTGGGAGACATGACATTTTTACATCCCTTTATTCTCTGCTACCCCAATTATTTACATTTTGTTCTCTGAGCTTTAGCTTGATTTTATTGTAGTCTTTGGGTGCTTGTTAATTTGGAAACTTCTATATTAATATATTAAGAAAAAGCCCGAGTTTTTATTAACCAAGGTAGTTGACTGAATTGTTTTCAATTGAGTTGGTGACTGAGTAAATTTTCTTCTTCTTATATCAAAATGACCGTATTATCTTTGCCTACAATTTTAATAATATTGGAACTTATAGGGGTAAGAGGGTAATAATTCTGATGTTTTTTCATATGTTGGCCACAATAGTGCTTGTGCATTTTTTGTTGGGATATTGTGGCTCGTTTTCCTATTTGTTTCCATGTGAAATTGTATGTCTTTAAAAAATCTATTTGGTAAAGAATACAATTGTAAATAGAAATATAATTTAGGAGTCCTAATAAGAATTGAAATATGAATTTTATTAGAAAAAGAATATCTCATATACTATCTATAAATATAGGGGTTAGAACCAATTCAAGATTATGAGAGAATGTGAGAACACAGGGTATTTGATGTAAGAGTTATTAAACACCATGGGGAGAGTGTCTTAGAAACTGGGATTGTTTCCACTCTAAGTATTGGGTTGAGCGTGGTTAGAAACTAAGATTGTTTCCGCTCTGTTTTATGTACTAGATTTATGGTGTTATGTACTATTATATATTGTGTCATGAAACTATAGTAGATTTCTCTCATCCGTGGATGTAGACGGGTTATGTCGAACCACGTAAATATCGTGTCTCTTTGTGTATTGTGATTTTATTCCTATGTTATTTATCTCGAATGTATGTTTTTCTCTGCGCGATCTCCTAACATTTTTAAATCCCTACACATTGAATGGCCATATGGGCTTATAAAATATATTCCAGAGATAGTGTGAAATGCAAAACTAACTGTTACGATTTTGGGTTACAATAGCTTTAATTTAGAAGTTAGTTTTGTTAAGCATACAACCTGACTAGCATAGAATGACTAAGTTCTTAAGTTCTATTCGATGTTGCATTTGCATCTCATTGGAATTAATTTATGCAAATGATTAGGCTTGATGGCTTGTTTAGTAGTTGTCCTTGCTTGCTGCCTTAGATTTTGATTTTTCTTTTTGTTAAATTTAGGTGAAAAGGAGCACGAGAACGTACATGTATGATCCTTGGAATGGCAAAGGCAGAGATGCAAGCAACATAGATGGAGTTAAGTTGTCTGAAAATGACTTGATGGTGACTGACATTTATGCTCATCCAAGACATATGAAACAAATGAAACCTCATCAAGTAGAAGGATTTAATTTTCTTCGAAGCAATCTGGTGACTGATAATCCTGGTGGCTGCATTTTGGCTCATGCTCCTGGATCTGGAAAGACGTTTATGATAATCAGCTTCATGCAGAGCTTCTTAGCTAAGTANAGGTAGTTGACTGAATTGTTTTCAATTGAGTTGGTGACTGAGTAAATTTTCTTCTTCTTATATCAAAATGACCGTATTATCTTTGCCTACAATTTTAATAATATTGGAACTTATAGGGGTAAGAGGGTAATAAATCTGATGTTTTTTCATATGTTGGCCACAATAGTGCTTGTGCATTTTTTGTTGGGATATTGTGGCTCGTTTTCCTATTTGTTTCCATGTGAAATTGTATGTCTTTAAAAAATCTATTTGGTAAAGAATACAATTGTAAATAGAAATATAATTTAGGAGTCCTAATAAGAATTGAAATATGAATTTTATTAGAAAAAGAATATCTCATATACTATCTATAAATATAGGGGTTAGAACCAATTCAAGATTATGAGAGAATGTGAGAACACAGGGTATTTGATGTAAGAGTTATTAAACACCATGGGGAGAGTGTCTTAGAAACTGGGATTGTTTCCACTCTAAGTATTGGGTTGAGCGTGGTTAGAAACTAAGATTGTTTCCGCTCTGTTTTATGTACTAGATTTATGGTGTTATGTACTATTATATATTGTGTCATGAAACTATAGTAGATTTCTCTCATCCGTGGATGTAGACGGGTTATGTCGAACCACGTAAATATCGTGTCTCTTTGTGTATTGTGATTTTATTCCTATGTTATTTATCTCGAATGTATGTTTTTCTCTGCGCGATCTCCTAACATTTTTAAATCCCTACACATTGAATGGCCATATGGGCTTATAAAATATATTCCAGAGATAGTGTGAAATGCAAAACTAACTGTTACGATTTTGGGTTACAATAGCTTTAATTTAGAAGTTAGTTTTGTTAAGCATACAACCTGACTAGCATAGAATGACTAAGTTCTTAAGTTCTATTCGATGTTGCATTTGCATCTCATTGGAATTAATTTATGCAAATGATTAGGCTTGATGGCTTGTTTAGTAGTTGTCCTTGCTTGCTGCCTTAGATTTTGATTTTTCTTTTTGTTAAATTTAGGTGAAAAGGAGCACGAGAACGTACATGTATGATCCTTGGAATGGCAAAGGCAGAGATGCAAGCAACATAGATGGAGTTAAGTTGTCTGAAAATGACTTGATGGTGACTGACATTTATGCTCATCCAAGACATATGAAACAAATGAAACCTCATCAAGTAGAAGGATTTAATTTTCTTCGAAGCAATCTGGTGACTGATAATCCTGGTGGCTGCATTTTGGCTCATGCTCCTGGATCTGGAAAGACGTTTATGATAATCAGCTTCATGCAGAGCTTCTTAGCTAAGTATCCACAGGCTAGACCACTGGTGGTGCTTCCTAAAGGTATTTTGACAACATGGAAGAAAGAGTTTCAGACATGGCAAATAGAAGATGTTCCACTCTTAGATTTTTATACTGTGAAAGCTGACAGTCGGGCTCAGCAATTGGAGGTGTTGAAAAAGTGGGTGGAGCAGAAGAGTATTCTTTTCTTAGGGTACAAACAGTTCTCTGCTATTGTTTGCGACTCTGAAAACAGTAAGACAGCAGCCACTTGTCAAGAGATACTGCTCAAGCAACCTTCAATTCTGATTTTGGATGAAGGGCACACTCCGAGGAATGAGAATACCGACGTATTGCAATCCCTTGCTAAAGTACAGACACCTCGAAAAGTTGTTCTTTCTGGAACCCTGTACCAGAATCACGTGAAAGAAGTGTTCAATATTTTGAATCTGGTGCGTCCAAAATTTCTGAAACTGGATACCTCAAGGTTTGTGGTAAAGCGCATAATGAGTAGAGTACATATTCCAGGTTTGAGGAAGCAGTTCAAAGCTGGTGCACATGCTGCTTTCTATGAGTTGGTGGAGCATTGTCTTCTGAAGGATGATGATTTCAAAAGGAAAGTCACTGTCATACAAGATCTTCGTGAAATGACCAGCAAGGTCCTACATTATTATAAGGGAGATTTCTTGGATGAGCTACCTGGACTTGTTGATTTCACTGTGGTACTGAATTTGAGTTCCAAACAGAAGATTGAAGTTTCAAAGTTAAAGATGTTGGGTGGGAAGGGTGGCAAGTTCAAGCTTTCTGCTGTTGGGAGTTCTGTACTTCTGCATCCAAAATTAAAGTCCCTTCCTGAGAATAGTGTCCCGGCAGATGATAAGATGGATGAGGTTTTAGAAAAACTAGATGTGAAAGATGGAGTCAAAGCTAAATTTTTTCTTAGCCTGTTAAACTTGTGTGATTCTGCTGGTGAGAGGTTACTTGTCTTTGGTCAGTACCTTCAACCCTTGAAATTTTTAGAGAGATTAGTAGTGAAAATTAAGGGATGGAGTCTAGGGCGAGAAGTCTTTGTGATCTCAGGTGAATCAACTGCTGAGCAGCGAGAGTGGTCTATGGAGCGGTTCAACAATTCTCCTCATTCCAAAGTTTTCTTTGGATCAATTAAGGCTTGTGGAGAGGGAATCTCACTGGTTGGTGCATCCCGCATTATTATTCTCGATGTTCATCTTAATCCATCAGTGACTCGCCAAGCAATAGGCCGTGCATTTCGACCAGGCCAAACAAAGAAAGTGTATGCATATAGATTAGTCTGTGCTGATACCCATGAAGAGAAAGATCATACCACTTGCTTCAAGAAGGAACTGATCTCAAGAATGTGGTTTGAGTGGAATGAATATTGCGGTTACAGAAATTTTGAAATGGAGACAGTTGATGTGTCTGACTGTGGTGATCTCTTCCTGGAGACTCCACTATTAAGGGAAGATGTTAGAGATCTGTACAGAAGGTCAGTACTCAATTTATCCTTAACCCCAGTCAGAGTTCCCTAGTATGATTATCTATCTTCCGCCTTATAACACTCCTTTTTGGTATATTTTTTCAGGTAGATTCCAGCATTTGGAACTGAAGCAGTGAGTAGAATGCCATTTAGAAAATATGTATTCCGTCTACGTTACGAAAGCATTAACTTTTGTGTACAGGACTAGAGAAATAGGAAATGTAAATTTGTTCAGCTCAGAATTATCATTTGGATTTCCTTTCCTTTTCTTTTCACTTTTCTTTCTTCAACCTCCTCTGTGAAGAATGAACATTGCTATCTGAGTATAGAATTGTGGTACTTTCTAATTGAATGCTGGCAGTGTTTTTATGGGCCAGGATTATCTAGCCTCCATGATGGAGTACACTAGCACCATCAGACAAACGAACCGCACCTCTACGGACCTGTCCCTGCAGTGTAAGGGATCAGACAGTTTTGCTCGTCACAGTGCTCATACCACAGGATTTTGTTTGGGACAATGTTACGGTTGACATACGAATCTCACAAATTTTTTAAACTCAATGCGACATTGAATTGATATTATCACGTTAATTTACAATTTTGACTAGATATAAACAACCATTTCTGTTCATCGTACAAGGAACGATCATTCTGTAGGACGGAATGATTATTCCTTGGAGATGGAATGGTGTTCCTAATCCAAGGAACAACTATTTCTCCATTAATAACTGTCATTTTTTCATGAAGGAATGACCTTTTTTAAGTTTTACTTTTTTTAGTTTTAGTCTAAAAGAGTGTTTATCTAAGTTTATAAGCTGGTCAAACTAGCTTATAAGTTCTAAAATTAAGTTGATCTGTTTGTTTATAACTTTTCTGAGCTTAGAAGCAAAAAAAAAAAAAAAATGTTTATAAGCTAGTTTGACCAAGTATATTATTATATTATTCTTATTTAATTTTAAAATTTCATAGTATACCCTTATTAAAATTTCATAATATACCCTTATTTAATATAGTATTATTTTTAGTCATTTTATAATAAAATGTACTTATAAATCATATTTTACTAAATACGTCAACTATTTATTAATTACTTATAAATACTTTAACCAAACATATAATTACTTAAAATTTCAAATACTCACGCGTTACTTATAAATTAATTTTCATCGCATTCTGCTACCGTTGCATTAAAAAAACATGTGAATAATATTACTGGGAAAAAGAAAAAAAAAAAAAAAATTGTCTTAATGGCAAGGGCTGGACTAATGGAAAGTAATAATTATTTGTGTCCCTAAAGAACATCTTTTTTGTCCTTTTTCTCTCTCTCTGTCAGACTCAGTAGGCAGTACCATTCCATTTCCCACCGAGTCCAGAGTCTCTGCAGCTTCCTCTTCCGAAACAAGCAGACCCCGCTTTTGAGTTTCTCTGCATATATCGAAAACGTATACCAAAAACAAATAGCTTTTACGACTTTATTTGATTCTTGAATGATTAACTTGCTTATTGCTCTTGTTTGTGTAGTACGTTATTGAAGGTTGGTTGAGTTTGTTTAGAAATGAAGCCGCCACTGACGGTTTCTCCGCTAGCTTCCGTGTCCGGTACTCTCTTCATCTCTTTTTTTATGTTATCTGGATTTTGTTGATGCAAGTTTTTGTTGCGTACAATGCGTGTGTGTGTGTGAACTTCGTGTTAACCATTTTTGTCGTTAGGAGTTGTTACGTAACGTTGCTGTAAGCGGTGTAAGCTTACTTTTTCCATGATCAAAACATCCGTTACTTAAGTGGCAAAATATATGTACAGTACCGGTAGCGGTCAGGTACTGTAGATACCTGCTTTATTTTGTATTTGTGCTTGTTTTTTATGATATGCATGTTGATGTCTGTTTGATTGGGCACATTGTTTCCATATGCTTCAGTTGCTATTTTTATGTTTTTGTTGCTGTTTCTGATTGTTTGTTCTTTTACAGTAAGTGTCACGGTAGTTTTCAAATATGTTGATGCTTAATCTTCTAATATAATTTATAATTTTGTGATAGAGTCATATTCCAAGGGACACAAAAAGATGAAAAGTCTGGAGATGCAAAAGATTCCAGTTTAACGGCTTCCCCTTTACTACAGAAGATGAAGCGAAAGAGGAGACACAAAGATTTCTCAGAACGTTAACAGTTATTCGGGTCAATTTGCCTTTGCTGGTTTGAAGAATTTAGACTCTGGTTGTTTCGGAAGTGTCACAGAAGACTAAAAGGTCTATGGAGCTGAAGGCTCAGGTATGGGGTCAGCTTTTCAGAAACAATCCTTTGCTCTCGCAAATGTTTGAAAATGCTGAAAAGAACTTAAGCAAACCAGCGTCAAAGTTGAAAATCCAGCAAGCTCGTCCTAATGTCATTGATTTGGAGGTGAGTGTGCGGCTGTTGCTGATGTTCCGTTAGTAGTAATCTTTCAAATGATAAGATGAGGGAGAAAGGAGACCCTCTAATCCTCTTTCTGAGGTTGTCTTGTGCAGCCTTCGATGGACAATATCATACCGAGAACACTGAGGTAAATACTCTTGCAAGTGTAACTCGTAACTCAGAAAAGTTATATGTCTTTAGTGCTTATTAATGGGCACTAGTTCATTGATTTTATTTTACATATTCATTGTTCCAATATCATCTACATTCTGAAAGTGTCTGTGTGATTACCAAATTAGGTTAGGCTATGCGGAGAGAACCATTCAAGTGGAAGAAAGAGTAAGTTTGGCTTTGAAAGTGATATTGAGAATTATAGGAGTCATGTAGAAGAGAAAAGTAACGTTTGAATTTCACTTTATGATTTTAACTTTTAAAGAATTGAATATGAGAATGGAAGTGTGAAAGTATATTTTGTTGTGGCTTGTTGAAGATAAGAAGCACCATTCTTCTGGTTGTAGTTAATATCTTATTGGTCCAATGTCTCTTATTCCCATATGAAGCCTGATTTGGTATTATAAAATTTAGGTTCGGGCTATGGCGAGAAACCATTCAGGTGGAGAAAAAGTAAGTTTGGATGGTAAAAGTGATGCTGAGAAAGAGAAGGTGTTGGTGTAGAAGAGAATAAGGTAACTTTTGTTTTCACTATTTTTTACTTTTTGAAGAGTAACTAGAGAATCGTGAGTGTATATTTATATGTTTGATTGTGCTTGTGATGTGCTTCAGGTTTCGTTAATATATTTATTGATCCAATGTCTATCTAAAACTCTGATCTGTGATTACCAAATTTAGGTTAGTGCTTATGCGGAGAAACAATGCAAATAGAAGATAAATAAGTGTGGATGGTGAAATTGTTGTCGAGAAGATAGGGGTGTTTATGTTGGTGTTGAAGAAGATGATGATAACCAAACAGAGATTGAAGGTGATGATCTAGGGAAATTTGGCAGAAATGTATATGTCATTAGAGCTTTCCAAGGTACTCTGTCTTGTCAGTTTTGATTATGTTTTATCTGTTTCTATTTATGATCATTGCAATTAGAACTTCTTATTTTTGTTTGGTTAAGGATAGTTTGCATAAACTCTTTCATTTTATGCTATTCTGTTGTGCAAATGTCCTGGGAAGTAGGCTTAGAATTTTCTGTAGAGATCTAAGAATCATTATTACTATTGATCATAGACATTATTACTGTTGATGGTTGTTAGTTGAGAGAATTTGGGAGGTATGCAGTCTTCTAGAATTATAATTGTGTGGATATGTAGGTTATGCTATCTTCTTAAATCTACTTATATTGTTTGATTCTTTGACTCATTTATTGAACGATATCTTTCCATTATATATTTTCATTATCCTGACCATCATGCTTAACTTGCGAAGGTGCTGCAATTTTACTGTGATTTTATGCTGCTTCTGGTAGATGCGTCGAAGATAATTCAGGCAAGGGACACAATAGTGAAATGAGAAGACTGTGATCATTCATTCATCCTAAAGGATGACCTTGGCTAGTTTGTCGCATTTGTGGAATTATTGAGAGAGCAATTGACACCATATTGAGGTCCAGTTTAGTAAGGTAAAGTTATTTTTGTTTATCATTTAGCTCTTGTTTAAATTTCCACTTTGATGCCTTATTAGCTTAGTTCCCTGCTGGAAATTATATTCCCTTGGTTTTGATTTTTTGTTTGTTAATAGGTCAAAAGCAGTAGAACTTACGTGTAGATTCACGAAATGCCAAAGGCAAGATTCAAGCAGTACAGCTGGAGTTAAGTTGTCTGAAGATCTTTCTTGGAGACTGGCATTGCTATTCATCCGAGACATATGAAGCAAATGAAACTCCATCAAGTGGAAGGCTTTAATTTTCTTTGTAATAATCTGTTGACAGATAATCCTGGTGGCTGCATCATGGCTCATCGCCTGGATCTGGAAAGACCTTTATGATTATTAGTTTCATCCAAAGTTTCTTAGGCAAATACCCACAGGCTAGCACACTGGTAGTGCTTCCTAAAGAATCTTATCTACATGGAAAAGAGTTTAAGACATGGCAAATTGAGATTTCCCGCTTTTTGATTTTTACACTGTGAAAGCTGATAGCCGGGCTCAGCAATGGGAAGTGTTGAAAAAGTGGGTGGAGAGAAGAGTATTCTTTCTTAGGGTACAAACATTTTCCACTATTGTTGTGCGACTCTGAAACCAGCAAGACAGCAGCCACTTGTCGAGAGATACTGCTCAAACAGCCTTCACTTCTAATTTTGGATGAAGGGCATACTCCAAGGAATGACAATACAGATGTATTGCAATCCCTTGCCAGAGTGCAGACACCTCGCAAAGTTGTACTTTCAGGAACCCTCTACCAAAATCATGTGAAAGAGGTGTTCAACATTTTAAATCTAGTTCGTCCAAAATTTCTCAGACTGGATACCTCTCGAGCTGTTGTGAATCGCATAATGAGTAGAATACCTGCAAGGAAGCCATCCAAAGCAGGTGCGGACACAGCTTTCTGTGAGTCAGTAGAGCACTCACTTCTCAAGGAAGATGATTTCAAAAGGAAAGTGAGTGTCATACAAGATCTACGTGAGATGACCAGTAAGGTCCTTCATTATTATAAAGGTGATGTCTTGGATGAGCTTCCTGGACTTGTTGATTTCACTGTAGTACTGAACCTGAGCTCCAGACAGAAGAGTGAGCTTCCTAAGTTGAATACTTTGGGCAGAGAGGGCAAAATATTTAAGATGTCTGCTGTTGGAAGTTCTGTTTTTCTGCATCCGGAATTGAATTCCCTTCCTGAAAATAGTGTCCCTACAGATGATAAGATGGATGAGATTTTAGTGAAACTAGATTTAGGAGAAGGTGTCAAAGCTAAATTCTTTTTTAATATGTTGAACTTATGTGAGTCCGCTGGAGAAAAGTTACTTGTGTTTGGTCAGTACCTTCAGCCCTTGAAATTTTTAGAGAGATTGGTTGTGAAAATTAAGGGCTGGAGTCCAGGGCGTGAAATTTTTGTGATCTCAGGTGATTCAAGTGCTGAGGATAGAGAGTGTTCCATGGAGCGCTTTAACAGCTCCCCTCACTCAAGAGTTTTCTTTGGATCAATCAAGGCTTGTGGTGAAGGAATCTCATTGGTCGGGGCATCCCGCATTATCATTCTGGATACTCATCTTAATCCATCAGTGACCCGCCAAGCAATAGGCCGTGCATTCCGACCAGGCCAGAAAAAGAAAGTATATGCATATAGATTGGTGTCTGCTGATACTCATGAAGAGAAAGATCATACCACTTGCTTCAAGAAAGAATTGATTTCAAGGATGTGGTTTGAGTGGAATGAGTTCTGCATTTATAGGAACTTTGAATTGGAGACTGTCGATGTGAATAATTGTGATGATCCCTTCTTGGAAAGTCCACTCTTAAGGGAAGATATAAGAATTCTATACAGAAGGTTAGTACTCTCGATTTATCCTTAGCCGCAGTCAGTTCCCAGATACGGTTTCTAACTTCAGTTTTTTATATCTTTCAGGTAGATGCTGGCATTGTAGGATTAAACACAGTAGACTAACAATCAGAATCTATACTCCATCTAAATTTAGAATTTGGAAAGCTAGGTAAGAAAGTTTCATACAACAAAATAATATTCTTTTGAAATGATCATTTTTATTTGTCAGTCCGAAAATCTGTTACATAACTCATTGGAAGCTTGAGGATGTTCTGCTGCTTTTGTTAGTAACTGCTAAGTTAAAACGTCTTGTTTCAGACATTTTCAGCATTGTTTGTTGTCAGAATCAACAGTATCTGTACACAGAGAAGGTACAAACTTTACTACATAGAAATGGGAAATATAAAGTTTTTCATTTTAGAAATTTGCTTCGCTTAGTAGGGATTTCTTTTATTTTCTTTTCTTCTTTAACATCATTTATGCAAAATGGTTTCTGCTATTTGAATATAGAATTATGTGCCTGGCTATTGTTACCCTTAATATATTAACGTTTGGGGTCTACATGTTGACCTAAAACATCTTTTCAATCCACTTGTGAAAAAGGTAAACCTTAGGGGGTGTGAGTGTCATTAACTCTTTCTTTTTTATATTCTTTAGAACTGGGTGGAAGATTATGCTTTCGTTAGACCTGATTTAATGTCGATCTTTAACTGCAATTTGAAGGGATATGGATTAGGGAACCTACATAAAACTGGAGTTTCCAAATTGAAATGGAAGATTTTCATAATATCAGCATTTGATAGTTGACATGTTATTACTATTTGGGACCCTGAACCTTTTTAAATATACACATGGCAAAGCCTTCACTTTCCTGTCCTTTGTCCTTTAAAATAAGGGCTATGCTCCAGGAAAAATCCCTGCAATCTCCACAAAGCCTGCCTAAGACAAGTCATGTGAATACTGCCATGGAAGTACTTCATAAAAATACTTCCAAGTGGGAAGTTTCTTATTTTTGAGAGAGTTCCTCCTTCCTCCTTCAGTTCACCTCTGGCATTATTTTCTTAGAGAGCACGGAAACGGCACCCTCTTGAAGGCGACAGATGAAGTGACGGAGAAGGTAAAAAGTATAAAACTAACTACCTTGATTGATAACAGAGATGTGAAAAACAAGCAAAAAAACATTGCTTATTTTAACTAATTAGGTAAGAGAGGAAGAAGATAGTATAGCTCTAGTAGTCACACACTTGAAGAGAAAGCTTCAAAACTTTCTAAGTATTTTATTATAACACGCCAATGGAATCTGTCTCCTTCTCTCTGTTGCTGTTGCTGATTGTGAAATTGACTTGGCAACAATGAACACCAACCAAAAGACAATTATAGGTATCTTAGAGGTTATAATCAAACCATCAAAATGACAAAAAGCCAATCCTTACCAACTTTATTTCAAATCAGGACATCTTTTTTTTTTTTTTTTTTATCCAATACCAAAGTTATAGCTAGTTGTACACCTTTTCCTCCCACATATTGAACAAAAATTATGTATCTTATCTTTACAAATATGCTAACCAACCAATTTCTTGATATATTACAACTGTGTTCTACGTCTTCATATCCAGAAGACTACAAATCTTTTGGTTTACCATTCACAAAAGCAAAGATTGACGAACCTAAAAGAACGGTCAAAAGCCTGAGTTTTTCTTCTTACCATAAGAATGAATTTGAGATCCATCCGTGTGAGCATGCAAAGCAATCACTTTTCAAGCTACGAAATCGTGTAACAAATGGGAAGAACTGAACCTGGACTGCCGGTTCCCGTTATTTACACATTCATAATCTGCTGTTTCGGCCCCTACAGAAGATGCTGCAGCATTGTATATATCATCTCCTCTCATGGCAACGAAACTATGATGGGTTCCACCAGACATCGGTAGGTTACCACCCTCGCAGTGTTGTAATCCTAATGTGAGAGACACCCCGCTTCCACTCCCGAACCGGCCCAACTCTGACATGTGGTAAGCAGCAGCAGCAGCTGCCATGTACCTATCGTTGCCCCCATCTGAATGAACCATTGGGTCCTGAAAGAGACTACATTCATCAACACCGGACCTTTGTTCATCCCTCAGTTTCAGTAACCCATACTCCGTTTCAGCTCCTCCACATGTCCGGTTATGGAAACTGGCGCTTGCCATTTCAACATCGGGAACATGATCAGATTTGGACTCTGTCATTTGTCCAGTACTGCATCTCTCAGTTGCTGTTGAACTCCCACTTTGTTGCAAATCTTCTTCCCTGTCCTCGGAGGTCATCATATCACCTTTATTTGCTTTGGCTGCATTTTCAGAAGAAGAATTAGAATCCATCTCTGCTTCGGCAAATTCTTCTTTATACATCTCTTCAACCATAGGCTTCCAAAGACGAACCCGCGCATTTATAAACCAATTTGAAACCTGAGCAAGACAACATATTTCGTCAAGTTACAACGTAAAACATGAAGATCAGATGTACAGTTTTGCGATATCTTCCAATGATACGCATGATAAATACTGTCGGACTAATGAAATTATCATGACAATGTCTCAAGTCTGCCTTGAATACTGATAATAAGATGATTAATTTGTTTTACCTGACTTCTAGTCAAGCCAGTCTGTCTTGCCAGCATGATTTTATCGGAATCCTTCGGGTAACTGGCAGACATCAAACACAGCAATCAGTACATAGAAGTAGTAAGAGATCTATGCAGGAACAAGCAAATTATGAAAAAGGAAACAAGAGTAAAGTTTAAGGTCGGGGATTACGGATGAAGGAAATGTTCAAACAGCCAGGCACGAAGAATCGAAACAGAGCTTTCAGGCAACCCCCTCTGTGGCCTCCACGCATGTTGTTGCATCATACCAAGTTGCTGAAGTGCTCGCTGTTGCCTGAGCTGCTGATCCACATATCGGAGGCGAGTTATTCCAACACCTCTACCATTTTCTGAAGTATCTTGCTCTCCAAGGCTTCTACGGGTTGCCTGAATTTGGCCGGTGATAGCATCACGCAAGCACCGGAAGTGGCGGGATATAGTCTGCAGAGCCAAAGCGGTGTATGGTTTAGCAGCCCCACATCCCGCAATCACATCAAACGAAGATACCACAATCTGCATCTGGTGATAGTACTGCTTGTACCTTCTATCAACCTATCACAATAGGATAACCATTATAAGATCTCATAAAAATTAGAGCACAAAACCAATGCATAGAGAAATAAAATAACATGAGATGTGGTAGCTTAATTGCACCAATCCACATAATAAAAATGGACCAAAACAAAATCACATTCAAAGCACAAAATATTAACATTTCTGATAGAAGTCATAGAAGTATTGGCCCTATTAAGAGGAAGTCTTTGACTACCTTCTCAGAGCACTACCAGTAAAGACTAGCTAAGCTAGGTTCCATCTAGTGCAAGAAGCTCCTAGTCAGAAACTCAGGCAACCATCAACAATCTTAGGGACAATTCCATAGTATTGGCTATAATAAATGGCGGTTTCTGCTTCCTCGACAGCACCAGTAATTAACAACACTACTTATAGGCAACCATGTATCTTATGTTTCTTTCTTCTCTGATCAATCTGCGCACTGAGTTTATTTTACTCTTTTTAATTTAATTCCAGTGTCAAAAATATCAGCTTTCCAACTTTCTTAAAGGATTTGGTTGAAAAGATGATGATTGTTGCCATAGCAAAAGGCTTGGAGAACTATATATTGATCTTACCTCATCCAACATGGACAAAAGCTTTGTCAACTTGTTTTGCAATTCTTGTTTTTCAGCATGTGAAAGCTCATTCGGTGGGTTTCCAGCAGATTCTTGAGGATTTGATGGTGCATTACTTGAACCCCCATCACCCTCCTTGGAACTTTTCATCCGCTGCTCATGTGTGCTTTGGCTTTTCTCACCATCAGGCTGTTTCAGAGCTTTTCGAACATTAACAACTTCATCTAAAAGTTGTTGTGCTGCCTTGAGGTACCTGGAATTGGGGACGGCTCTTGCAACACTTGACATCCCATAAGGAGATACATCACCTTTATTCTCTTGGTTACCTCCAGAGAAAGCAGGTGGCAAATATTCAACATTTCTTGCTTGTCCATCTCTAGAAGAGCCATTCCTGCCACCCTCACCTGTAATCGATGAATTGGAACTCAAGAATGAAGCAAAGCCCGAATTAGGATTTCTGTAGGGGATGGAAGGCATTTGGATTCCAGATGGAATTTGTGTCCCCAAGCTAAGGGATAATCCTTGACCCTGCAAATTCTGTCCACCTTGAAGAATATTGGTCGGACCACCCATTGGGTGCATAACTAACATCTCATTTCTACTGTCCCTCCATGCGTTGAACTCATGCTCCCCAATTCGTGACCCACCAAGATTTGAGAAGATTTCTTGTTGATGTGGGGTTGATTCTGAAGTTTCCACTGACTGAATATCAATGCAATTATTTTGCTGTTGAGAACTTCCAGCTAGCGAATCCGGGTATGACCCTGAATTCATGTACATCATCACATTACCAGGAAGAACCGGTGCCTCTGAGTAAGAAACCGGCAACGAATCCCTTAAATAGATCATCGGAGCAGCCTCCCTTTGATTATTTGAACTAGTGTAATAAGTTGCCATATTTGTATTATCTCAACAGGTTCCTGCAACAGTGTTCCAACTCAGATTAGAGGCTAACTATGGGAGCTGAAAACGGAAATTAAAATGATTTCCCGTCACAAATAAAGAAACCCTTTTAAGATCTGATTTTGCTTTAACAACTTATCTGCCATTTATACAAAGCTTAAACAAACCATTACAAATTTATTACACAGAAGGAGCAATTCATCAAAACAAATTAGCTCAAACTGATACAAACAAAACCCCAGATATCCATTATCATGAAAAAGAAGATTATACCAGTGGCTTAAAGAAGCTCATATTCTCAAGCTTACAGTTATAAATCTTTGTATGCATGTACTAAGAGAAATATCCAGCAACTTAGTGACAAAAATGATTTCTTTAGTTAATTTAAGCACACACAGCTAATAGTTTTCAGTGAATCTTATTTCTTCATCAACTGAACCAAATTAAAACAGGAAACAAACCCAGAAATCCCCTTAAAACAGAATTATGAAGAAGAAACAAGGAAAAAGTTGAAAGCAAACCATTAAAAAAGCATAAAACATCCCTCCAACGAAATAAGAGAGAACAAAGACAAATCTCTAATCTGTAAGTAAATCCTAAAGGATTTTGAAAAATTAAAAAAAAAAAAAAAAAAATAGTGAAGTTTACTTGCTTATGATCACCATCATCATCAGCAAGAAGAGAGAGATGAAGAAAAATAAATAAAAAAGAGCTATCCATGAACAGCAAGCAAAGATAATGAAGAAAAAGTCAAGAAAATAAGAATAAAAAATTACCTGGAAACAAGCAACAGTTGTGGGTGTTGGGGGGAACAGAAAAGCTTGAAGACACCACCAGATCCACTGATAACACAATCTTCACAAAACAAAACGCTTTCTGATCCCAAGAACCCAGTACAACAACAACACAACCCTTTACTTTTCATTGAAAATATTGAACATAATACAACAACAACAACAAAGAAGAAGAAGAAAAATAAAAACTTTTTTTTTTTGTGTGTGTGTGTTGGTTGTTTATGGGTTCCAAGAACAAGCTAAGTAATAATAACAGTAGTAATAATAATTCAATTTTCACTTTTGATCGTTTTCTCTAATCATTTATTCCCTTTCCATCAATCCCCACGTGAAAGATTCACACGAACACAGTTCTTGCTTTTCTCTAAAAGAGAGTGATGATAAAGTTTCTCTCTTTTGAAATACTATTCAATCTTTTTATCATGAGCTTAGCTTTTCCTGGTTCTTCCTTCAAACCCAGCTGTAGTATGAACTAGTTGTTGCTCAACCTGCTTCTGCTTCTCCTTCTTTCTTCTTCTTCCTCCTTGGTGTTGTTAGCTGATGATTTGTGTGTGGTGATGAAGAGATATGTTTGGTTAAGAGTTCAATCTTCTAACCACCAGTTGGTGGACCTAAAACCCTCTCTTAAACCTCTTCTTCTTTAATCTTAAAAATTCTTCCTTCTCTCTCTCTGTCTCTATGGCTTGGCTGTCTCTCTCATCATCCTCAACTCAAAAAACTCTCTCTCTATCTCAAACCTCAAAAGCATATCATGGAAGGTCTCTGGTTCTCTTGTTTTGGTTTTTGGTTTTTGCCTGCAGTGCAATATCCACCATATAACTATTATTCTATTTATTTTATTTTATTTTATTTTATTTCTTTGTTTTTTTCTGATTTATTTTATATTATTTATTTGTTGTTTTAAATATGAAAGGCGCACCACCAGCAACATTAGGTGCCCATATCACTGTTTTTGTCTTTTTCTTTTAACTAATGATCAATATTACATATAGACCCTTATGCGTTTCTCTACGTCCCTGTAGTTTTATTTTTTTGCTCATCACCCCCTATTATCATAATTCCCATTTTGCTATCTCAAACAAATATTGCCATTTTATATGAAAGTGTATTTTAAAACCCTAATTTTTTTTTAATGGTACTTAAAAAAAACTAATTATTTCAATAAAGGTTTGTATTAAACATTTTAAAATCCAAACCATCATTTCCATTAGCTAATATTAAAAGATAAATTTTTAGCCAAACTTTCTCATAAAACACGAAAGATTTATCTTTTAGTGTTAACTAATAGTAAATGATGATACAAATTATATAATAGATGCTTTTTTTTTTTTTTTGAATGATCCGGGGTGTTTGGGCTAGCTTTTGCCCACTTTGACTAATCCTTCGGAATCCTCAAGTTTATAGTACAATAAACCCTCTTATGATCACCCCTATTAAGAAACAAGGGAAATCGAACTTGAAACTTCTTGAGTAATAGACCCAAGAATCTCTATCACCCCATCCAGCCACTCAAGGGTGGTTCGTTTGTAGATGTTTACATTAGAGGAAAATTATATATCCAACTATTGTACATATTTTACGATCTTCGTTAAAATAAAAATAAAAAAATATATATTTAAAAAATATGATATTTATTTTTAATATTTGAAAAAAGAAAGTAATGGTTAGAAAAAATTTGTTGGGGGTGACAAGGATGTATGATTAGAAATGTAGCATTGGAAGGCATTGCTTTGCCTAACCCACTAATAATGTGATATTCTTTTTCCTTGGGCAAAAGAAATTAGTGATTTTAGCTTTATTTTCCTTTCATTTTCATCCTTTTTATAGTTACAATATGAAAGGCATTAGGCATTCCCTAAAGTGGCTATCTATGTTAGTGGGGGTTAAGATTCCAATTTCCAATAGTGGCTTCACCTTTTTGAAATAGTCAAGACCTTTAGGTGATGTTAAAATATTAAAAAAAAAAAAAAAGGAAAAAGGAAAATAATTTGGTATTTATATAAATTTTAAAAAATAATAATAATGGGAATCTCATATATTTGATTGGAATGATATGTGCAAGTTTGATTTTCATGCTAGTTTAGAAGTAACAATTAGGTTTATTATTAATTATTTTTTAGCATTAATTTTGACAATTGTTATGATTTTTTTATTGATAAACAGGTTTGGATAGAACTCACTCCCAAAAGTTAGTCAAGGGAGAAGGATAGCCTACCAATTTGGTGATGTGGGATAAATACAACCTCTAACACCCTCCCTCNAAAAAAATATATATTTAAAAAATATGATATTTATTTTTAATATTTGAAAAAAAGAAAGTAATGGTTAGAAAAAATTTGTTGGGGGTGACAAGGATGTATGATTAGAAATGTAGCATAACATTGGAAGGTATTGCTTTGCCTAACCCACTAATAATGTGATATTCTTTTTCCCTTGGGCAAAAGAAATTAATGATTTTAGCTTTATTTTCCTTTCATTTTCATCCTTTTTATGGTTACAATATGAAAGGCATTAGGCATTCCCTAAAGTGGCTATCTATGTTAGTGGGGGTTAAGATTCCAATTTCCAAATAGTGGCTTCACCTTTTTGAAATAGTCAAGACCTTTAGGTGATGCTAAAAAAAAAAAAAAAAAAAAGGAAAAAGGAAAATAATTTGGTATTTATCTAAATTAAAAAAAAAATGGGAATCTCATATTATTAATTATTTTTTAGCATTAATTTTGACAATTGTTGTGATTTTTCTATTGATAAACAGGTTTGGATAGAACTCACTCTCAAAAGTTAGTCAAAAGAGGAGGATAGCCTACCAATTTGGCGATGTGGGATAAATACAACCTCTAATATCCTCCCTCGTGCTCGGCATGCAAAATAGGGTTCAAACTCAACTTTTAACACTCTCTCTCACACTCTACGTGCACAGCTAGGTCCAAACCCACCATTACCCCGAACAAACGTTGCTCTAATACCATACTTCTAACACCTTTCCGCACATTCGACGTGCACAACCAGGTCCAAACCCACCATTGTCCTAAACAAACGTGGCTTTGATATTATGATAAACAAGCTTAAGTTGGGCCTCAAACAAACGTGGCTTTAATACCATGATAAATGAGCTTGGATAGAACGGGCTTGGATAAAACTCACTCTCAAAAGCTACGGCTCTGTTTGGTTCACTATTCTGATGTTTTTTATAATAGTATTTTGGAAAAAAGTTAAATTGAATTATCTTTACCAAAAAGATAATTATTAATGTTTTGTGAATTGAATAAAGTAGAATTGGATTTTGAGAATATTGAAACAAATACATTTTTGAGTTTTTAGGATATGATAGTGGAATAGGATAGGATAATAATAGTGAACCAAATAGGCCAGTAGGTAGAAGAGAGTCCAACCACACACACATATATATATATAAAATTAACGATGTGAGACAAATACAACTTCTAACGTCTATATTTAAAATAGCTTTTCTCAAAATTATTTAGTTTATTTGTAATTATTTAGGTTATCTTTTGACAATTTTTTTTTTTTTTTTTACATAATTAAAAGTATATAGTGTAAATATATTTGATAAATTATTGCAAAGAAAAGGTTTTAAAATAAGGTGAATTCATGAATTGAAAATGCCCAAAACAATATGAAAAGTTCCCAAACAAACATCCATTTTATAAAAAGGAGTTCAATTTAAATGAGAGTACTTTCCAAATTTGATGAAGTTATGACTCAATATGGCCTAGTTTTCCCGAGAAAAACTCCAAGAAAATTTCTCAAAGCTTTTCAATTTTCTGACTAACACAGACCATCATCAACTTCTCTTTGATGACATAATGGGAGGTAAATTGGACGGTCATGATGATGATGATGATCATCTTGATTTTGCATGATAAAATCATTTAACAAAACTGGGTTTGTGGACCCCTTATCACAGTGCCCAGTTTTATAATTTGATGATCAGAAAAAATTATTATTATTATTATTATTATAAATTTTCATGTCTTTTTCATATTGCTATTGGATAGTGATTAGAGTATTGAAGGAGTAGGTCCATTTTGAGGTCATTCTTTAAGCAAAAATTTATATAAATAAATTAAGAGTAAATAAGTTAGTATTATTTTTAATTAATCATATTTTTATCCCAAATATTATACCAACCCAAATATTAAATAAATAAAGTTGAAGGATGACACACATGTTTTAGTGATTTTAAATTCCAAATTGTATTTACCATATCTTAAGCTGAAAAATTATGCAAAAATAATAATAATAATAATAACACAAATGGGGTCGATTCTTGCTTGTTAGTATGTTATTAGTAAATAGTAAGTTATGGGCTATATACAACTCGAACGTTAAATTTTATCAATTCTCTGGAGCCAGATTTGTATCTATATGAATCGATATTATTCCATTCTAGTTTCTCTCCAATACCTCTCAAGGAAAATCTCAATTTGGATCCCAAGTTGACCCTTTTTTTTTCAATAATCGGAGGTGTCTAAGCCAATTTACATATACTTTAACTAATCATCTGAGATCCTGAAGTTAACGACCGGGTTAGCCCCTCAATGATCACCCCCATTAGCGTCTGTGAGGACTCGAACTCAGGAGCTCATGAAACCTCTTTTTTGCTCTTTTACTATCTGATCACCTAGTGGTGGTTCAATTGAAGAGTTAGTGTGAGCTTATTCGTTGGTTAATCGGCATCCCTGTTTTATGTATCCAATTTGATATCTTTGTTGGTTACTCTCCAATACCTCCCAAGGAAAATCTCAAATTGGATCCCAAATTGACCTTTTTTTTTTTTTTTTTTTTTCGGGTGATCGAAGGTGTCCAAGTCAGCTTATGCATACTTCAACTAATCTTCCGAGACCCTAAAGTTGACGACCGGGTTAGCCCCTTAGTGACCACCCTCATTAGCTTCATAGAGACTCGAACTCAGGAGCTCATGTAACATTTTTTTACTCTTTTACTATCAGATCACCTAGTGGTAGTTCAATTGAAGAGTTAGTGTGAGCTTATTCGTTTGTTACTTGGCATCCCAGTTTTATGTATTTAATTTGATATCTTCGTTGGTTACTTTCCAATACCTCCCAAGGAAAATTTTAAATTGGATCCCAAATTGACCCTTTTTATTTTTTGGTGACCGGAGGTATCCAGGTTAGCTTATGCATACTTCAACTAATCATCCAAGACCCTGAAGTTGACAACCGGGTTAACCCCTCAATGACCATCTCTATTAGCATCTGTGGGGACTCGAACTCAAGAGCTCATGAAACATTTTTTTGCTCTTTTACTATCAAATCACCTAGTGGTGGTTTAATTGAAGAGTTAGTGTGAGCTTATTCATCGGTTAATCGGCATCCCTGTTTTATGTATCCAGTTTGATATCTTTGTTGGTTACTCTCCAATTCCTCCCAAGGAAAATCTCAAATTGGATCCCAAATTGACCCTTTTTTTTTTTTTTTTTTTAGTGACCAAAGGTGTCCAAGAGCTCATGAAACTCTTTTTGCTCTTTTACTATCAGATCTCCTAGTGGTGGTTCAATTGAATAGTTAGTGTGAGCTTATTCGTTGGTTACTCGGCATCCCAGTTTTATGTATCCGATTTGATATCTTCGTATCCGAGAATCAACAAATTAAACGTTTCAATTACAATATTGAATCATTCTAGTGACTTATAAAAAGGGAAACCGCGTTTTCCATTTTTGTTAAACACATTGTCTAGCTTGCAAGATAAAACAATTGCAATAATTATAGCTTGAAAAATCAAAATAATGTTTGCTA